AGTTGAGAAAAAGTTATGAAGAAAACAGGATATTTACATGATCTTAAAGCATCACTCCAGAAGATAGCCTCTAAGTACATATGGTTATAGTAATCTGTCAGACACCACCTTAATCAAATGATACAAGTTAACAATGCTGATAATGAGCTATGTCAATATCATCTTAATATGAGGCCCTGAAAAAAAATACCATATCACTTCTACAGTGCTCTTGCTAAAAAATGTAAAACCTGAATTTAATCATAAGGAAGCACAACAAAATCACAAACTGAGACATAGTCCAGAATCCCTGCTTCTTTGGAAAAATTTAGTTAGAAGAAATGTTTTTTGTTACTGGTATATAGAAAAATAAATTGATCTCCTCCAGCCACCTTGATAAATTCCCCTATTATTTTTAATAATTTGTCTGTTTATTCTTTTGGGTTTTCTATATTATCAAAAAATAATCAAGCTCTACTCAAAGTCCAGGATAGGAATATCCAAGTGGCTGAGCCCAGGTCATATGCCTGAACCAGTAAAGCAATTATCTGGCATTTTTAGTCTGCATAATGAGAGAAAGGCTTCCTCCCACCAAGACTCATAAAATGGAGAATTCTCCAAACAGAAAAACAGAACAGGAGAAACAAATTTTACTAAAATCCAGAGTATAATGTAGGAAAACATTTTGTCAGAAATGGTCATGAGTGACAGAAATAACATAAATGGTAATACAGTATAAGAAATACTATAAAATAGCATAAAATACATAACAAATAATGAGGCATACAGACAACAAAGGATCATTAAAATACAAAGGTTATAATTTAAAGTAAAAGTAATAAGTAAAAGTAAATGTAAGAATGATACAATTTTAAAATCTGAACATCACACTTGGATCATACCATGGATCCTTCAGAGTAATGGGAATTTATTCCTCTTAACTCCTGCAATTCTAGAATAGAGTCAGTGAACTTTCGTATAGTACATTAACAGTCAACTTTCAAAACCTTGCATGTTCTATAAATGTCTCATCATTTATGCCCAATTGACCCCAAGAGAGAAATCACCAGAGAGGAACAAAGAACAAAAACAGAGCTAGTAACTACTTTTTTGTGTCTCCTCTCCTCCCAGAGGGGCATTCTTTGGACACCCCCTCCACCTTCAAGAAAAAAAGAACATCAAGAGTGGGAAGTCAAACAGGCATGAAAAGATTATGATACACTTTAACATCTATATGCATTCATCTACAGTTCTCTTTCATTAATTTTTTGCTCACACATTAAGGTGGACCGGAGGTAATTCACACCTTTATAAAAATTAAAAATATTCGTGAAAGATCAATTTACTTCTACCTATTTACTCTAAATAAATTTCATATGGGAGACTGAGGACCATTTCATAAAAGGGATGAACAGGGGCCTGAAGGATGATTAAGAACGAGAACGAAAGAGGAAACAGTTCAGGCTAAGGAATAACACAAACAGAACTGAGAACATGCTAAGTCTACATAACAAATTGAGAGTAAAGGGACGGGAACACAGACCTATTAACTCTGTGATGTAAAAAACCTTTAATAAACACATGGGAAACCTGGAAGAGAAGTAGTTTGACAAAACCAGATTAACTTAGTTATAGAAAGATTAAAAATTGCTCATGAAACATTCAACTAATGTTATCAAGTAGGCAGTTGGAAAAAGGGGCTTAGGGACGACACAGGAGATCTAGAGCTAGAAACCATGCAACATGTAGATCATGGTCACAGCTACAGAATACGCACTTGTTACTAGTGTTAATGTTGTCTCGGGCTACCAAACACTTAGATTAATAACTAATCAAGGTAGACTCAAATACAGTGATTAATAATTTTAAATTGCCTAAAGGCAATTCAATGAACTCTATAAATCAATGAACTCTATAAATCAACTCTATAACTCAGAATAGACTTTCTTCCAAGTAGTGAAATCTACATAGATACACATTAAAAACTCCTGCAATTCAGAAAGTCTTCAGAGATCAGAATACTGCAGGCACTTAAACTGAACTGTCAGCATGCAAGACCTCTCCATGTGTGTGATCTTACTGCACCTGCCTGCAACACTGTTGAGCTTACAAGGCTCAAGACCATAATTCTCCTTTTAGAGATGATGAAACTGAGGATGAAGGGAGAAAAAAACAACCTGCTCAAGTGGCAGTAAGTGGCATAATCCAGGTCCTGAATATGAGTCATCTGACTCCAAAGCCAGGGTTATTATATCTTAGTGATCAGGTGAAGGAAGGGCTATGGCAAGAGGGTCTTGAATCCTTCTGTACACAAATCTGTACCTCTAGGCTGAAAACTATTTTTAAGTTATGAAATTGTGATTTATAATAAATACATATATATTTGATCTTTGTCCCATTTCTGGCACAGAGCTCCCCAAACCCTTGGAATTTCCTAAGTAATGAGAGCAAGAGACATGTCTTTTGTTATGTTAATGAGGTGGGTTTGGGGCCCACCCCCGCCCCAATGAAGGATGGGGGCTGGCTGCCAGGAGAGCCAACCATATGATCAGAGTGTTGGAACTCTTGGTCCTACTCCAACCTCCAGGGAAGGGAGAGGACCAGGAGGTTGAATCGATCACCAATGGCCAATGATTTAGTAAAGTCATGACTATGTGACGAGGCCTCCATAAAAACCCAAAAGGACAGGGTTGGAGAGGTTCCATGCTGGTGAATACACGAAGGTGCTGGGAGAATGGCGCCTTCAGCGAGCATGGACGCTCCACGCCCTTTCCTACCTACTTTGCCCTATGCACCTCTTCCATCTGGATGTTCATCTGTAGCCTTTCTCATACCCTTTAATAAATTAATAAACGTAAGTGTTGTGCAGAGTTCTGTTAGGCACTCTAACAAATTAATCAAACCCAAGGAGGGGGTCTTTGGAACCTCCAATCTATAGCTGGTCGGTCAGAAACACAGGGCTTGCAACTGGCATCTGAAGTATGTATGTATGTGGGGGTGGGAGCCGCTTTTGTGCAAATGAGCCCTTAACCTGTGAGATCTGACGTTAACTTCAGGTAGATAGCCCCAGAATTCAGTTAAATTGTAGGATACCCAGCCACTGTCACAGAGAATTCCCTGGGGTGGGGAAAAGCTTCCATACATTTGCTGACCAAAAGTGTCAACGAAGTGTTTAGGTAAAAGTAGACACACACAGGGAAAAAACACACAGTAGGTAAGAAGCGAGTTTTTCCCTACATGGTAAGAAAAAGAAACCTGAGTTTTTCCTTTACACAACTATAGACTTCTTTCTTTTTTAGTGTTAAGGCTTTTTTTTTCCTCATTAAAAATCAGTACATGCTCAAAATTCTAATTTTATAAAACTGTAAATGAGAGAAAGTGGCATATCCCCATAATCCCAACTCTCACAATACGCACTACTAATAGTTTGGGGTATATTCCGCAAGACCATTTTCTCTATTCATCCAATTAATGCACAGGTAGGAGCTGTATAAATGTGTGTATGAGCTTGAATATATTTACACACTTGTAAATGGTTCTACTGGATCAATTTTTAGAAGCAGAATGTTAGGTCACTGAGTATACAGTACTTTAAATTTTAATAGCTATTGCCAAATTGCTTTCCAAGGAGATTGTACCAATTTCTACTGGTTGACAAAGAAAATTTGTATAAATACAAATGGCCAAAAGACATAAACCAGTATTTAATCCCATCTGATAAAGAAATCCAAATTAAGTAAAAGCAGTATATTTATTTTTAGCCATCAACTTGGCAAAAAAATTAAAGACTAATATTATCTGGCAGAGTGTGGGACAGGAAAACAAGCTCTCTCACAGACTGTTGGAGGGATAACCTGGCTCAACTTCCAGAGGGCACTCTGGCCATGTACGAACATTTTAATGTACATGGACGATGACCCGGGAATTCCACATTTAGGAATGGATCCCACATCAGTAAGTATCCAAGTGCCCATCAATTTACTTACAGTAATGCACAGTGCAGTCTTTAAAAAGAGAGCAAAAATTTGGAAACAGTTCAAATGTCTATCAATCAGAAATTAAGTCAATTGCATTAAAACCATACAATGGAATATTTTGCAGTCATAAAAAAACGGTGCTATGATACTCTTTTTAGCATAGAAAAATGTCCATGATATTAACAAATATATAGAACAATCCCATTTATATATAAAGTATAAAAGCCATAGGAAAAATTTCTTAAAATATATTTCAGAGTATCAAGAGTTGTATCTACATGGAGGAGTAACAGGTAAATTTTAACTATACATTCTGTAATTGTTTTAAATGGTATGCATGTGTTTACTTTTATATTAAAGAAAACATTAACAACATTTCCCTTTTAAAAGACATGGGAAACCAAGAAAAGTTGGGAATCAGTACACTAGAACCAGATAATGTCCTAAATCCTCTCATATTCTGAAATTCTACATAATAAAGAAAATATTTACTCCAGAGGCTTTTTTCCTTCATTATTCCCAAAAAGCATATTCAATACGCTTTCTCTAGATCTTGTGAGGAGACTAAAATACAAGAAATGTTCCTTGTTCTTACTGTATTTTGACTTTTAAAATAATACTGATGGCTGCATCTTGGCAGTACAGAGAAGGGGTAGAGAGAATAAGGAAATGATAAAACCGCAATCCAGGCAAAGCCTTTCTCAGGTTTCAAAACTCCCAAAGAAAATCAGTGCAAATCTCCAAATTTAGGTCCGAGAGCTAAAAATGGAGACTCACTGCTCTTAAAGATTTATGTATATAATATTATCCTACTCACAACAGATCATTATTCCTGGACCATTACTGTAGGAGACAAGTCAAGGCAAACACAGCAAGTTAGACTTACATTTAACTATCAGAAAGAATATATTATCTAACCTTTATATATTTTTAAAAACATGCTTATAAAAGCATGTTTTTTAAAAAGCCAATATTAAAACATTCATTTATGGTTTCAACTCTTATACATTATATGTAGTAAAAAAATGACAATTAAATAATTACCTCTCCTATGAAGACTACTATAACACAGTCCAACTTCTCTTCAGGATACAGATTATCAATAAGGGAATGAAGGGTTTCTATGAGGTAAGATTTAACTTCTCTCTTCACTGTGGGAATTCCCATTACTATTGACACTGAAACAAAATAATGATAGTAATTATATAAAAAGATTTCACACTGACAGTACAGAATAACACTAGTATTTCAAAAGTGATTATACCCTCTCAAATTGATAAAAATAACTGAGAAATTGAAATATACTACTCAATAATAACTGAGGAATCAAAATATATTACAAAATGTACTACTATACGAAGAAAAATAATCAAAGCCAGAAAAGGCATACCCATAACAGTGTAATTCTTTTCCACAGGGCTTATCCATAAAAAATGTCAAAGTGCTGATAAAAATGAAGACATTAAACCTCACATTAAAAACAAGTGACTGTTAAGTATAAACAAATATAAATTATACAACTAAAAGTTAGAAACACTGAACACATCTTAAAAATTAATGTCTCAAATAAAAATCAATGTCTCAGATATCACGTATATAATGCAATCAGAAGGACACAACATCCCTTCTGTGGTTTTCTTGCCAAAAATGCATAACCTCAATCTAACCATGAATATCAGACAAATCCAAATTAGGGGGATAATCCACAAAAGAATTGTCCAGGTATTTTCTGAAGTGTCCAGATCAGGAAAGACAAAGAAAGAATAAGGAACTGTGCGAGATGGCCGAAGACGAAGGAGACATGACAAGTAAATGAAATATGGAATCCTGAGTTGGATCCTGGAGCAGAAAAAGGAGAATGAGAAAATGACAAAATCTGAAGAGGATCTAAGGTTAGTTAACACTACAGCATCAATGTCAAGTTCCTGGTTTTGATCATTTCAACATTTAGGGGAACCGGGTGAGGTATATGAAAACACTATGTGTACTATCCATGCAACTCTTTCAAGTCTAAATTACAGCCAGTTCTACTGCAATGCTTGTTTTGCAACACAAATTTTTTCTTGAGTGATTAATGTACTAGGCAACTATCTGAGCATAATGTGTATTTCTCATTTGCTTATGTGCAATTTCTCCTCTGGGATAAGCATTCACTAGGTAAACACAGAAAGTGGAATCCATTTGAAATGAGTTTAAAAAACTGAACCGAGCAATGTAGAAATACACGAACAGTATACACTCCTAACTTCTACCAGCTGCCTCAGTTAACTGCACGTGAAGAACCACACATATCTACATTTAGTGTTGAAATTTCCACCAGATTGCAGATAACCTGCCTTGCAAAACATTTCTCAAAACCTTCCAAGCGGCAATCCTTCTGAAGCCCATTTTAACAGGCAAACCCTCCAGTATTATTCGGTACCATATTTACTGTAGTACTTAGTATTTCTTCATCATTTAGCATGTGTAAAACTGTGTTTTTGTCTTTTTGTATGTGTAACTAACAAAGTTTCTGAACACTGTGATACTAACCGACTTTTCTCCTTTTATTGAACAATTCTGCATAGCATGATAAATTTTAAGAATGCATATATTATAATAGGACTGTAATCCACAGGAAATTTTTTTTAATAACACCTTTTAAAAAGCCTTAATATCCTGTTACATAGCAGTCGAGAAATATTTTGCAAATGTTAAAAATATTTAAGTCTTAATAATGTAAAAATGTATTAGAAATGCAACAAAATACTTAGAATTCATGAAATTCTGAAATCAGAAGGAAGCTTGAAGATCATGGCTCAATGAGTCCACCACCATGATTCTGCAAATAAGAATACTAAGATCCATAATTTGGCTATATGCAAAAGAATGAAACTGGACCAGTTTGTTACACCATACACAAAAATAAACTCAAAACAGATTGAAAACCTAAATGTGAGACACGGAACCATAAAAATCCTAGAAGAGAGCATTGGCAATCATTTCTCTGACATTGGCCACAGCAACATTTTTCTAGATATGTCTCCAAGGCAAGGGAAACAAAAGCAAAAATAAACTACTGGGAGTACACCAAAATAAAAAGCTTCTGCACAGCAAAGGAAACAATTGATAAAACTAAAAGACAATCTACTGAATGGGAGAAGGTATTTGCAAATGACATATCCGATGAAGGGTTAGTATCCAAAATAAGTAAAGAATGAATACAACTTAACAACAAACAAACAAATAATCTAATTTAAAAAGGGGCAGAAAGATATTTCTCCAAAGAGGACATACAGATAGCCAACAAGACACATGAAAAGATGCATGACATCATCATCATCAGAGAAAGGCAAATCAAAACCACAATGAGAACACCTCACATCTGTCAGAATGGTTAAAATCAACAACACAAGAAAACAGGTGTTGATGAGGATGTGGAGAAAAAAGGAATCCTCATGCACTATTGGCAGAAATGCAAACTGGTGCAGCCACTGTAGAAAACAGTATGGAGGTTCCTCAAAAATTAAAAATAGAACTACCCTATGACCCAGTAACTGCACTATTGGGTATTTACCCAAATATTATGAAAGCACTAATCCAAAAAGATAAAAGCATCCCTATGTTTACTGCAGCATTATTTATGATAGCCAAGTAATGGAAGCAGCCCAAGTGTCCATGGATTGATGAAAGGATAAAGAAGATGTGATACACACACACACACACACACACACACACACACAATGGAATAGCACTCAGCCACAAAAATAATGCAGTCTTGCCATCTGCAACACTGATGGAGTATGAGTATATAATGTTAAGAGAATAATTAAGTCAGAGAAAGACAAATGCCCTATGATTTCACCCATAGGTGGAATTTAGGAAACAAAACAAAGGAAAAAAAAGACACAAACCAAAGAAAAACAAAACAAAACAGAGTCTTAACTATAAAGAACAAAGGTTACCAGAGGGGAGGTGAATGGGAGGATAGATAAAATGGGTGATGGGGACTAGAGCATACACTTACAGTGACGAGCACTGAGGAACACATAAAACTGTCGAATCACTAAATTGTACACCTAAAACAAACACTATATATTAACTATGTTGGAATTAAAATTTAAAAAGCAATAACAGCCCTCCCCCCCAAAAGAATACTAAGATCCAAATGGTTTAAAAAATATCCCCAAAGGTAGATGCCACACTCCTCTCTTCAATTTTGAGATGAAGAGCTTCCTGGGGTTCAAAAAGAGATCTGTCATATTTAGACTTCTGGGAAGATGGCAGAGCAGTAAAATCTTGAGCTCACAGACACACAGTGCAGCCAACTCTGAAAAAGACTCAAAGACTGGCACAAGAGACTTTACAGTTAATCGTAGAGAAAACCACAATGAGAACTACAGGAAGGGAGGAAATGCACTTAGGTACCAAACCTCTGTGAGACTAACTGCACACAGGACCGAGAAGGGAGAGGAGCAGAATCCACACCAGGTACCACAGGCGTGGAGAAGCCACACTGGTAAGATAAGTCCCCATAACATCTGGCTTTGAAAACCAATGGGGCTTAACTTCCAGAGTTTTAAAATCAGCAGACCCTAACTCTGGGTACTTTAAAATCAGCTGGTGTAGCTCCAGGAGAGCTGGCAGGGATAACAGGAAACTGCGTCCCCACCCTCAAAGAGCCAGCATAACAAAGAGCCCTACAGAGACGCCTCAAGGAAGCAGCAGTTTGGAAAGTGCCTGTGGTATCTCAGATTTTGCACTGAAGGGGCAGAAATCTTTAGGAGACTTCAAGAACAAAAGTGCTAGCAAGCACCATTCTCTTACCCTAGGCTCCCTCCCCTCCCGACCCCCCCACCCCATATAGCCAGACACTTGTGGGAACCACCACAAATACTCTCTACATATCTTGCTAGGAACAAGTGCCCCACCTCTGCATTCCCCTTTGGAGGCACCACATCCAACCTGACCCACTCAGCAGGCATGCCTCCAAAACCACCTCTGCCCCAACACACCATGCAAGCAACCCCAGCAGGGACAAGTGCCACTCCAAGGTGACCCCTGGCCTGGGGAGAAGGGAGTATAACCATACAAAACCAGTGTATCCACTGTCCCAGCAGCCAAACCTTATAGCTGGCAGTGCAGAGACAGTGCACTGCAGCTCAGTATACCTGCAGTCCCAGAGCACACAGACTAAGGGCAGGCATCCAACCTGACTGCTGCCCTACAAGCCACCTTAAAGCACAGGGACCAAACCCTGGCCAGTGTACTCCAAACAGATAAAATGGGCCTATGCGGCCAACTGGGCTGAAGGTAAATGCAGCTCAGTCCCACAGTAGGACCCACATCGCCACAAAGGAGACACCCTGGAGGTGCCTGGTTCCAGTGAACAGAGGACACTGTGCTACAAGACACCACAAGACCTCTTCTTCATAAGGCCACTACTTTCAAGATCAGGAGATGTACACGATTTCCCTAAGACAAAGAAACAAACACAGAGTTAGACAAAATGAGGAGACAGAGCAATGTGGACCAAATGAAAGAACAGGACAAAAATCACAGGAAGAGAGCTAAATGAAATGATGATAAGCAATATGTCTGATAAAGAATTCAAAGTAATGGTCATAAAGATACTCACTGGACTTGAGAAAAAAGTGGAGGATCTCAGTAAGACCTTCAACAAAGAGATAGAAAATACAAAAAAGAACCAGTCAGAAATGAAAAATTCAGTAACTGAAATTCAAAATTCACTAGAGCAAATTGATCCCAGAATAGAGGCAACTCTATTGCCAGCAAATTGCCAGCAAATTGATCCCAGAATAGAGAACAACTAAGCAGTGATGTGGAAAATAGAGTAATGGAAAGCAACCAAGCTGAAGAGCAAAAAGTAAAAAGAATAAAAAATGAAAATAGGTTCAGGAAACTCAACAACATCATCAAGCAGAGTAACATTAACATTATGGGGATCCCAGAAGACAGAAAGCAACAGAAAATGTATTTGAAGAAATTATTGCCGAAAATTTCCCTACTGCGGGGAAGGAAAAGATATCTAGGCTCAAGAAGCACAAAAGAGCCCCCAACAAAATTTACCCAAGGAAGTCCACACCAAGACACGTAATAATTAAAGGGACAAAAACAAGTGATAAAGAGAAAATTTTTAAAAAAGCAAGCAAAAAGAAAAATTGTATACAAGGGGAAC